CTCTCTCTGGGGAGTGTTCATGTCCTATAGCAAATTAAAAATAATAATAACAAATAAAATAAGTTATTCCGGAAAAAAATTTGCAAGCCCCATAACACCATGTCCATGTTCCTTTTCATTCTCTCTGTCACCTTCACGTCAAGGTGCTTGTCTCCGTTTACTGCTATAGGCTCCGCTCCTGGCTAGTCTCTCTCAGCCCTACGGTCCATCTCCCCCTATCCCTTTTCCACAAGTGTTGCTTGGATCCCATACTACTGCTAAAAACTTTCGAAGGCTGCCCCTGCCTACAACCAAGGTCTGCTTGAAGCTACTTTTTATGCTTTACCCCCTTTTCCAGTCTAATACAGTCCCTTAGGTCCAACCAGACCAATCCCTTGAAGTTGCACAAACTTCATGACACAATCATTCTCACCTGGGGATTGCAGCATTCACCACCCCTTCCCAAAGGGGGTGCTCCTGGCTCCCCTCCTACGCCATGAGATGAAAAGAGAGAAGGAAATACACAACAGCACCCAACATGAGGACCAAGCAAAGAAGAGAATCATTTCCTTGCTGAAGGTCAAATACTCATCTCCAGATTCAAAAGCCAGCATTTGGCCCTCCCAGCTTCATTTCCCATACCTAGACTCTATGCACCGCATTTAACCACAAACTGTTTTCCACCTGCAACCTTCCAGTACTCCCCCATCCCTACTGCACAAGTAAAGAAACAGAATCAGGGACCAGCTAATGGAATAATAGTTATATCGCTGGACTCCCACGTAGTCAACCGCGGTTCGAGTCCCATACCCAAGCAGCTTAAAACTCACACCGGGCACGTGTATGTGCATGCATGCCCAAAATCCAGAGAGGAGAACGGAGGAGAAGGGATTGAGGTGTGGTCATCCCCCCTGGGAGGTGATGTCTCGCTTTCTGTCTCTGTCTCTATGGCAGCACCCTATACCAAAAATCTTACTTAAAAAAAACAAAAACAAAAACAAAAAATCAGCCTTCAAAAGAACCTATATGGTAAGTCACTCCCCCAGCTACCAGGATGGTAAAGGGCTGACCACAGAAGTGACCATAGATCTTTGATGATGAGGAAGAAAAGGAGAGGGCCTATTAACCCAAGCCCTCCCCCACCCCATCCCACTAGTGCAATCCCCTGGCATACAGAGAACTTCCCAGGTATTCAGTACATATTGTCCAATTTCTACACAGCTTAAACTCCGCTTTGATGCAGCGGAGCTGGGAGGAGGAGGGAGGGAGGGATTCTCTGAGGGAAGCCTATTGCTTCCTCCAGATACCTGGAGCGCCCTGTCACTCAGCCTAAGAGATGCACTAAGCCACACCCCCACCGACGTCACCCTCTCAGGAGCGCTTAGCAAGGGAAGCCCACGCAAGCAAACAGGGAGACAGACCGACTTCAGGGAGGGCTGGAGGGGGGGGGTTAACTGCTCACGTACCTGATCAAACAGGACTTTCCAGTGCTGGTAGAGAGGGAGGCCATGCAGGAGAGGAGGAAGAGGAGAGAAAGAAAGACACTCATCACCAAGGTCTCTGTAGCCCCCTGAGGTTTCTGATAGCCTCCCAGCTGCTGCCCAAGAGCCATGCCAGGCTGGGGGCCTGGCCACAAGAGACCAGGGAAAACAATGAGTCTACACTGAGCAAAGGCAGGGACTCACAGTAGGGGTGTAGGGGACAAGGGAGACGTCCCTGGGTCTGGGATAGGCAAGCAGAGGGATGAACAGAAAATGGGTGGTCTCAACAAATAAACTCAGCCCAAGGGACTCTTCTGCTGCCTCAAAGTTCTGCTGCCCAGAGCTCAGGTCCACATCTACTCCCAGGCCTCAGAATGCAAGCCCCCTGCAACTCCCTCAGAACCCGAAGCAGTGGGTCTCAACTGGGGTAGGAGGAGGTGGCAGAGACCTCCGACCAGGAGAGTGAACCCCTGCATAACACTAACATTCTGCCTGTAATTTTGGGGGGAGGGTATCCTGCGTGGGTTAGAACCCACCCATTCTCCTCCAAGGCTGAGGCTAAGTGGTAAGTGCCTGAGACGGTAGCCCAGGGCTAGGCGCAGGAAGTGATGAGAGTGATAGGTTTAACCACAGAAGCCAGAGAAAGATCTTAAAGTCCTTCGCCCCATTCAGACTTGTCGGCTCTGGTTTTGCAGGTTTGGGGCCTGGCTTCTGTTCCTCTCCCCACCTGAGGGATCCGTGGGGCAGGGCAGGGGGCTTGTCCAGTTTTTCACCTCTGTTTACCAAGGTAAGCCCGGGAAGGGGCAGCTTATGAAACTCCAGTGCCCGCTCCGCTGATGGCTCCTAGCATCCGCACCGAGGGACGGAGCCCCGAGCAGCAGATGGCAGGGAAGCCCTATGGGGCTGCCCCTCCCTACCCTCGCCCAGGGGACCGTCCCTGGCACCGACGCGGTCTAGGACTCCTGAGCCCCCTCGGAGAGCAAACCGGCTCCCAGCACTCCTCTCCCAGCTGCAGCCGGGCTCAGGGCAGGGGTCAGCTTGAATCTCCCTCAGTGTCGCGACCAGGCAGGTGCAAGGCGGGAGCTAATCCGGCAGCAGGGAAGGGGGTCGCCAGTCCTGTCTGCGCTACCAGGGACCGGGGACTCCGCAGCGCCGGTCCTTCCCCGGGCTTGGAGAGTCCGCAGGTCGCGAGTGGGAGGGCGGGGAGCCACTGCTGTTGCGTTGGGTCATATGGTGGGCAGGAGACCCCAAAAGAGCCAATTTTATTCTCTTCTTGAAGACTTGTAAAGCACGCGGGAGCTCGAGCAGGGGGTGGCGCACGCGTGCGTTTAGGGGGGACCGGTCCCTCCGCCTGCTCCCGCCCGTAGGGACCCGGCCAATCCGGGGCGCTCCCGCGTCACCTTGAAACCTCCAAGTTGCCCCGTGGGGGCTGGACTGGGGCAGCTCTCCGCCCGGTGCCCCCCAGAAAGTTTGCCCGGGCGGGGGAGAGGGCACTCACGTCCTCCGGCGCCGCGGGCGGCCGCTCCTCGGCCTCGGGGTCCAGCTCCTCGGT